GGAGGCCACATCAATTATGCTGAATCAAACACAGGAACCATGATTTACAGGAGGTGTCAGGATCCCAAGCAGTACCTGAGTGCCCTAGACCATATTTCTCTCTCCCGCTTCCTCCCATGCCCCTCCTCATTCTGGCAATCCAGCCCAGGCCCTTCATATCTTTCACGAGGTTCTTGAAAGAAGAGCTCTGGCTGAATTTACAGCCCTTGGTCCAAAGAGGTGGCAGAAACCCTGCTACTTGCTCTGCAAATTCCAAAAGAAATAGACAGGATCAAAGACAGCATGTTCCAGGAATTACAGGTGACCTTGAGAAGAGAAAGAAGTATTGGGATGGATGGAGGAATGTGGGCTCGCTCCATTTTAAAAATGGGATCAAAACCCTCAAACCAGTACCAATCTGTGTGTTGAGATGGAGAGGTTGAATTTCTACCCCGATGGTATGATAAAAACGAAGAAGCCTGAGGCTGAAGGTAAGAAAAAGCCTGTGGAAGCTGTGCCATCTCTTGAGTCCCCCTCCCCCGGGGGTTGAGAAGGGCAGGGTAAAAATGCTGTAAATAAAATAAAATAAAATAAATAATTCTATATATCTAGGTTTTACTGATGGTGCTGAAAAATCAAGGGACTGGTTTCTGAAAGGGACAAAGGATGCTGACCCCCGATCAAGGAACTGTTAACATCAGATTTGATGACTCTCATGTGGAGATAGCCATTTCAGCACCGACACAGGAAATATATTAACAGAGGATGTGGAGAGAGGGCTGCATTTGCCTAGTATCTCAGTTCGATGGAAGAGGGCAAATGCAAGGATCCCCATAGATGCCTGTTGGGCCACCCGAACTCTCGTCCTGGGCATTCCTGCTCTTCTGAAAATGATAAACACAAGATGCAAGTTGAGGCCCTATGAGCAGGAAGCAGGATGCCTGCTTAACCAGCATGATCTCTACCAGCGAAGAGCAACATCTGTTGGATTAATTATCTGTGTAATTAGCATCTCATTCTCAAGGGGATTTGCTTTTTGGCTTCATGAAACACTTCCAGCTGCTTTTTCTTCTTCTTTTTCTTTTGGGGTGTGTGTGTGTTTGTGTGTGTGGAGGGAGGGTAATCATTTTATTTCTGCATGCCAGGCAAAACCAAAGTACCTCGGAAGCATCATCTTGCCCCCATCCAAAGGGCAAAAAGGGAAGAGGAAAAGCCATAGACTTCAAACCAAGAACCATCCAGGCTCAGCCCTGGAATATGGCCACAGCTCACACCCTCCAGGTCTGGAGCAATGTGAAGCTTGGTCCAGCCCACATTTGCCTAAGTAGGAGCTCCTGCCACTGGAGGAAGAAGGCGCCAAAGAACTGTGCTGCTGCTCAGCACCAGCAAAGGTGGCAAGATTTCAGCAGAGACAACAATCCCACCACAAAGCCAGAGAGGGCAAAGCCAGGGCAAGCAGCTGAGCAGGGCAAGCACTGCTGCCCCCGTTTTTTTGGGGAGGAAAACCAAGAATATCAATTTCCATTCTGGGGAGAAAAGGAAACTGCACAGGCAGCAGTGAACTCTCTGAAGGGGGCAATGTGGGAAAATGAAAGCCAACTTCTCAGCAACGCATGGTTGGAAAACCAGGTCAGCAGAAAGGCAGCTCAAGTGAGTAACATGCGCAGAAAACAGCTCTGGTAATGTTTTTGCTCCTGCTCTCTCTGCTCGGAAGCTCCATGTGGGCAAATTTATGTGGGGAGGGGGATAAGGGAGCATAAACAAGCGATCCGATCATTGACACAGAAAAGAAAAAAGCGCTAATGAATTAACAAACTGCTAAGAAACTCCAAGGGACAGGAAGGAACTGGGAACCCCTTGTCTTCCTATCACCTTAAAAAGTGACAGAAGGAGCACCCAGGCATGCCCCCCCCCCCAAATGTGGCATGCTGTGGAGTAGCCTGTGGAGTAGCCCATGTCTCATAAACACCAGCAGCTCATAGGTTGCAGAGCAAGACTCCAAAGACATGGGATCCTTAAATACATTTCTGAACTACTCTATTAGTTTGGGGGTGCTGGGAAATCTGAGCTGCTTGGCTCGTAACCCTCAACTGGGGTGATTCCACCACAAATACAGCAGAAAATCAGAAGTAAACTTCATAACCAGCAGAAACTTATGTATGGTGAAGCTGGAATAAGCTTCTATTCTCAGGATGACACAGGATTGCAGAGTCAGAAGTTTAGGTTCAAAAATATTTATTGAAGTAAAAAAAAGAAATACATTCTAGATAGAAAAGGTCTTGGAGCCAACTAGCTTACTAAATCTCACCTTCTAAAGAAGTAAAAGAGTAAAAAGTAAAAAAAAAAAATCAATGCAGCTACATTTTGCCTAAAGGGAGAGGCAAAATGTGTCCTCACTGGAAGGCTGAAAAGGCAGAAAAGATAATGGCAGAGACCACATGGTCAACCTAGGGCAATAAAACTTAAAAGAGGAAGTTCCTTCACAAAATTATATTCCTACATCTTCAAAAGGTGTGGGGAGGCAGTGGCTAGCAGGAGGAGGAAAGACAAAGCCCTTTTGGGAAACATGCATGTTAAAATGGAAAAAAGAATCCCTCAGCTTAATCCTATCTCTATAGTCTAGCTGCTCATTGAGGTCTGGAAACTTGACACAAGAGACTTGTGCAGTCCAGGGATGAAACCCAACAGGGGGATTAACTAGATTGGCCTTTCTCTCTTTAATAATGCAAGCATGGTTCATTCTTTTCAGTCTTGCGTTTCTTTACCTTTTCTCACTCAGATGAACTCTGAGTCACCAAAGTACGCCACACATGCCATCTTTATAGTCCTGAAGCCCACAGCCTCTCATGAATCTGCTGGGCAGCCTCTCTGATGCGCCTCTGACACTAGGCCGAATGGTGCATGGAAGCCGAGGAGTGGCTGCTTGAGGGGAAATGGCCAAAAGGCAAAGCCTGAGGATTGCAAGCCCGATAAGCCCGGCGCTCTCTCACCCGGGCAGCATCTGGAGAGGATTTTCTCCAGCAGAGGCAAGAACTCGATTACATCCAGTTAACTGCACTCTAAACTGATTATGCATGTGCCAGGCTAATGGATTACATTAGCAAGGGAAAAAAACAACACCCCACCAATATCCCACGCAAGGAGAGAAGCAGCTCCCAGGCCGCTCCCTGGCCCCCAGCTGTAGAGGCCTGAGCACTGGAAGAGGATGCCTTGGGATAGGCCCCTCCACACTCTTCTGGGTTTGTAGAGGTGTCTTGTGCAGGAATGCCACTACCCCTACTTCCCAGTGGCTTCAGTAAAGCTGAGGGGACGAAGCTGCAAGCAGGCATTTGGGCTCACACTTCACTGAAACAAGCTTACAGGTGTCTCTGCCCGCTTGGGGGCACACAGAGTGGAGGTTTCTATATGTGGGGGACTCAGAGCTTGTACCTGTAGGAGGGATGGAGAAATTCTCAAGAGGGAAGGAGCTGCCTTGCTACACTCACCCGCAGCAGCTGCAGCTGTCATCAACTGGGAGACCATTCTGGCCTGTGCCACCCATGCAATCCCTATTGGCTTTGCTGCCTGACCAGCTAACAGATAATGTCTCCTCCAGGGCAAGATCTTCCATTGGTCACTAGACAGGTTCCAGGCCTGTTTTACTAGCTCAAAAGACATCACTGTGAGAATCTGAGAGATCAGGTACTTGGCAAGGGTTTACTCTCTTTGGCTGAAGCTTCATCTGTCAATCCCTGTTCATGGGGACTGCCACAACCACCCAACCAGAACAGGTACACAAGAATGTTTTGGTGGAAGGTGATAGAAGTGCACCTGTCACCAATGACTGCAGGAACAGATGTGGAGGACAATGAGCCTGTAAGATGGGAAGCCAAAGAAAACAGAAGTGGAAAGCAAGACAGACAGCATGCGTAAGTGAATGGAAGGTCCATGAAGTGAAGCTGCTTAGATTTATGGCAATTTGTACCTGACTGTTCATACTAAAGCCATTATGGGATGATTAGAGAAAAAGGTGAAGCTTTAAGTCCAGGGAAAATCAATAGAAACGTCTGGAGCAATTCTGCTTCGCAAGTGAAAGGGCTATTTACTGTATGCAGAGCCTCTTGTTCCCAGACAACATGGATGCAGTCAGAGGGGGAGGGGATGAGTAGAAGTGTGCAACCCAAAGAAGACATGGGCAGAGGAAGAAGCCCCAAGGGTCTGAAAGAACAGGACAATGGTGCATTGCTACCAGGACTCCTAGGTGCATGGGCAGCCAAATGCCCCATCACTCCAGCCCGAGTTCCATAAAGAGGTCTGTGCCCCAGAGCCCCACCTGGAACATGGCAAGGGCCCTGCTAAATGCGTTCGGGGCCCACACTAGCAGCATCATTCCCACTTCAAGCACCCCAAAGAGCAAAATCTTTCCTCTTGTTGGTGAGTTGTTTCAAGCTACTGCTGCAGCCCACTTTTGCACTCCTTCTTGCTCTGCAATATCCTTTTCCAAAATCAGAACTGCCATTAAAGTGCCCATTCCACAGCCTGAAGTGATCCTTTTGGAACCTTCTCTCTTTGTACTAACCAGCTTCAATATTTCTGCAAATCGAGCAGCTTCATTGCTCTGCTCAAACTCAAGGCCATTGATATACAAATTGAAAAGCTATAGACCAGGCTTGGACAAACTTCGGGCCTCCAGGTGTTTTGGACTTCAGCTCCCATAATTCCTAACAGCCTACTGGCTGTTAGGAATTGTGGGAGTTCAAGTCCAAAACACTTGGAGGGCTGAAGTTTGCCCATGCCTGCTATAGACCCATGAGTGATCCCCACAGTACTCCACTACAAGAAATGGTCATTTATTCCTAGTTTTTCATTTGAAATCATCAACTATCAATCACAACAATGCTGTAGATTAATTTATAACCTGCCTTTCTCTCAACGCTGGGACTCCAAATGGTTTACAAACACTAGAACAATTTTTGAGGATGTCTCCTAAGATGGAGATCCACCCCACAGGGACCAACTGGGATGAAGGAGCTCTCCCTTACCTTGTAGAGTTTCAAGCTGGCCTCATGCCTGGAGTTCACGGTGTGTAGTCGCAGCTTCTCCAGGCTATTGGTGTAGTAGTCACAAGCGTTGCACTTCAGGTGCACTGGGTTCCCGATGGCCACACACTTGAGCCTCCACTCATTGGCCTTGCCCCCCTCCTTGATGTGGGCCACCAGCTGGAACTTCTGTACATGCTTGTCGGTCTTGCAGTGGAGCTGGAAGTTGGCCTTGAGCTGCGTGTTGTAGCGGCACAGCTTGCACTGGTAGGAGTCCCCTGCCACTGCCTTCCACTCCTCCTCCGGCAGGCTGCGCTCCATGTTCATATGCAGCCCTAGCAGGTCCAGGTTGTCCGTGGAGAACTTGTTGCACACGGCACACTGGAAGAGCTTCAGCGAGGGGTCGTTGGTCTGCGTGAAGGTCTCTCCCAGGTTCATGAGTTCCTCAGAGACCAGCTGTCCACCCCCAAGCCTCATGTCCAAGGGGATCTCTCCACCTACTGCACAAAAAAAAGACAATCAGTCAAAAAAGCTCTGCAGAGACAAGAGAGGCCTCTCAGGGGTGCCTTAAAGAGCCCGGGCCAAGGAGGCTCCTGACCACTTCAGGGGGTGCAGGCCTGGGCCACAAATGGGAGTATGGTGGTGAATGAACACACAGCCCCCATTTTATTCCATGACCTGAAATGGACACATGGAAAATTCTGGGGAAAATGGAAAATAAATGCTTAGGTCACATATTCCTTTTTGTACCAACAAGTGAAACACACTGGTATAAAAAGAAGAGTTTTCCAAAGCTATTCCAAGGCAGTCTTGGATCCAGGAGGGTAATCGGAGTGATAAACACCTGATGACTAACCAAATAATATTCTTAATATAATGCTGGGAAAATGTTTTCAAATGTACTGCAGAAACACAAAGACTGTCTTCAGGCATTTGTTCTAATCCAGAAGTTTCACCAAAGCTCTGGCTCAGCCAAGCAACAGCCAAGAACTCTGTACCAAGGATGCTCCACCTTCACCTCCCAATTCCCCCAGAGGACTTCTGACATCAAGTTAAGTTAAACCAGCAGTTCCTGACCTTTGGTTTCCCAGTGTTTTAGACTTCAACTCCCAGAAATCGCAGCCATCTTACCAGCTATTAAGAATTGTGGTAGTTGAAGTCCAAATTCCTGGAGGACCAAAGATTGGGAGCCACCGAGTTAAAACGTCTAAATCCCTGAACATACACACAAACTCCACAAGGAAGAAGACATGCACAAGTCCTCCAGTTTGCTTCAATTCACTTGCCACTTAAGCAGCATGGAGTATGAATTTAAATAGACATAACAGTCTCCTGTCACTGTTGGACTGGCAAGGCCATGCTGCTAAGCCTTGTGTCCTGCATTATTGTTATTCCTAAATTACATTAAAACTTTATTCCTTCCTCACCACTTTTTCTGCATTTGTACGGCCACTGCATACTCTTCATACCATTTCTAAGCACAGTTGACACAATCTTCCTTCTGTTTACTTCAACATTAAAGGTTTCTATTTTCAGCTCTATCTCATTCCTGTTTTCTTGACTTGCACAACAACATTTAGGACATCTGAAAGCAGCTCTTTGTAATTCCACCTCTGGCCTTGTGCATACGTGCAATTTTTGTCTGAATAAAACCCAAGACATTTCTACTTTTACATTTAATATACCAAGTTACCATTTTATGTACAAATACATGAAGTTGGAAAGTGCACTTAGAAAACAAACACTGCTCATCTTTTGGAGTGCCCTTCAAATAATCTGAAACACACAGTTTTCTTCCAGTGCTTGAAGGTCTCTTACAGTTTTATACTCCTGAGGGACGCCTGATTCCCTCCTTGGGCCGGAGTTGATGCAAGCCAAGCCAAGGGACCTGGGAGCCCAGAAAGAGATTAGCTGGCCCCAGTCCCCAGTCTTGGTCCAGAAGGATTAAGGTGTCAGAAATATTTTAAAATTAACTAGGTATTTTTAATTATAAAAATGTGAGTCAATGAAAGGGTTAAATGGATGCAATGACTCAGCAGAAGCTGCAGGACTATATAAGCACGTGTACTGTAGCTTAGTAGGCCCCTGTGTTAGTTTGCCTCAGTGGGAGAAAGGTCTCAGTCTGTGAGAAGGCCTCACAGTGTGAGATAGGCCTTAGTCTATGAGAGAAGCCTCTGTGTGATGTAAACTTCAATATGAGAAGGCCTCGTGTGTGAAGCTCCAGTGTGAAGGTTGAACTTTATTTGTGTCATGAAAACCTTGTTCTTGTAAACAGTGCAATTATATTATTTTGCTATAAAGAAAAGTATGCTATGGAAGAGATAACTTTGGTCTGTGTGTTTTTGTTCTTTTTACCACTTTGGGCTACTGGTGCTGGGTCATGCTGCTGTTGCTAAGTTACTCTGCTGTGCATTTACGAGGAGGGTCTTTTGTTAATAAGCCCACTCACCCAATATAAGGACCATTTGGCATTCATCAAATCCTTGACCTGCCTCCAGAGAGAAGCCAATAATGAAGGACTGGACCCTACAGCATCACTTGGGCAGGAGACTTTGAATATATAAAACCTATATATTCAGCTCTACAAGAGGTGGGTATTTTAGAATATAAAACACAATGTGATATAAAGAACAATCTCTCTCATCTGCACCCAACACTTAGGTTAGTGAAAGAAATATGTGCATCATTTATTTAATTATATGTATCTCTGTCTCTCTCCACCCTTCTCCAGCATTATCTTCAGAGTGGGTAATGCCGATACTCACTGCCTCATGTGGGGCAAGGAAAGTCCCTTTCCCCTTCCATGGCTTCACCCACGATGAAGGTGTGAAGTTGGGTTGTTGTGGGTTTTTTCGGGCTATATGGCCATGTTCTAGAGGCATTCTCTCCTGACGTTTCGCCTGCATCTATGGCAAGCATCCTCAGAGGTAGTCAGGATGCTTGCCACCTCACTACCTCTGAGGATGCTTGCCATAGATACAGGCGAAATGTCAGGAGAGAATGCCTCTAGAACATGGCCATATAGCCCGAAAAAACCTACAACAACAACCCAGTGATTCCGGCCATGAAAGTCTTTGACAATACAAGGTGTGAAGTTATTTGCAAAGGGCAGGCTGCATGTGCAGGCAATGTGATACCAATGAAGCTATGCCTCCTCCTCCTCTGCAGCCCTTTCACCAGATGGTAACCAGTATTCTTCCAGGGCCAAAGCCAGCCAGCTGCTCCTAGGCCCTTGCCTCTTGCCCAAGCGCCACTGAATCAAAACTGCCGCATCAATACACTTAGAACCATCTGTAGAGTGGGGAAGAAAATGGGTCTTCATGTGGGTCCTGGGCATGCAAGACAGTCTTGAGAAGAGCCCCCGGACTTCCTTAGGGATACCAGTGGAGTCCCCTCAAGAGATGCTCAGTCTCCCTACAAAAATGGCAACCCTTTCAGTAGGACCACTGAAAGCATGTCACTCAAGGACACCTGAAGCTGGACATTACTGTTGGGGTTCATCCCACTCTCATTCCCGTCAATTACAATATCTCAATCACGAAGGGCAGGATGAAATATGAAACCAAACATGGGCATCTCCAACAATGGGCATGTACTAAGAAATGGCTACCAGGAAAGCATTCTTACCACTTCATCTCATTTACTAAACTCCACTGAGTGCTATACTTAAATGTGCTAAACCACTGTGCTCATCATATTAGGTTAGGTTCAAATGTACAATAGAGCATTCTTTGCATATTTAGAACATATGGGCCAGCATTATTTTCAAACGTTTGGCCAATTCTGTAATGCAATGGCATTAATTGCTCTCAGGTGTAAAATGAAATGTTTCTCCCATTTGTGGGAGGAGTCAAAAGTACCCTTGTTGGGGAAAGCTTTACCTTTTGCTCACTGAGCTTTTACTTTTAAAAAATAGCCTTTCCGGGTTCTCCCCTTCCTTCCATGATATGTTTGTGCCTTGTGTTGCATGGGAAAGCCAGGAGAGAATGATGATGATGATGATTATGCCATATCTCCATGCTGTGCAGTCCTGGGAGTTATAGTTTCCCCAGGTCCATATCCTTCTCTGGCTGCATTTATACTATGGGATGAATGCTCTTGAACCCCACTTTAAATACTATAGCTCCATACTATGCGTTCCTGGGAGCTATAGTTTCCCAAAGTCCATACCCTTCTCTGGGTACTTCTGCATTGGAGAATAAATGAAGTTGGGACCCATTTTAAAAGCTGCTATTAATTATTATTATTATTATTATTATTATTATTATTATTATTATTATGCCATGCCTCAATACTGTGCAGTCCTGGGAGTTAATTTTCCAAGGACTATACCCCTTCTCTTGGTGCATTTACAATATCGAATGAATGCAGTTGGACCTTACTTTAAATGCCATGTCTCCCTGAGATGGTGTTCGGAATTGCAGTTTCCCAAGGTCCATGAACCTTCTTTGAGTGCATCTACACTGTTAAATAAATGTAGCTGGTCCTTACTTTAAATACCATAGCTCCATACTATGCCATCCTGGGAGTTATAATTTTCCAAGGTCCATGCCCTTCTCTGTGGGGCAGCCGAGAGAGGGGGGGGGGCATTACTGCTCTCCCTCCCTCCCTGCTTCAGGAGCTGAAAACACGTAACAGCTGACATTTTAAAGAGAGGAGGTTTTTCCCCCACAAAGAACAGGGGGGAGGGATGGTGGGTGGTACCTAGCAATTACAGTGTGATGGCAAATATACTGAAAGAATGCTGAGTACAACAGAGTAACACAGATTTAACTGTGATGAAGGTAGGGAAATCATCCGTTTCACTTCAAAACTGAGTATGACTGAGTTCTACTCTACCAAACACTTCCCTGCTTCAATGTAATGAAATCCTAGAATTAAGCACAGAAGCAGTGCAATCAGGCCTCCAGACAGCTGAAACAGGGCTTTGCACCTCTAAGGTACTTAAAGGACAAACCTGTTTGGGTAACTCCCTTGACAGAAACAATGGCTAGGACTTGCCACACTTCACTCAGGTAGAAAATGAAGGTAAACACTGCAATACTGATACGGGCAATATGGCAACAGCAAGATGCAGGTAATTATTAACATGCGTTAATAGCAGGTGAGACATGCCAACTTAATTGTTAATTTTACCTATTTTAACATTTTAGATTTCCAGCCAATGTCAAAAGGTCTGTTTCAACTATCCTTTCAAAACACCAAAGAATCCGGAACCATCCAATAAAACCCATTGTGCAGGAGAGTTAGGGCCACAAGGAATACAAAAAGGAGGCTTGATTTTCTGGACATTATCTTTTTCTCTTTCGGGTCCCACTTCTCCTTCACACCATATTCCAGATTTTCTTCCAGAATCCCTTTCTCTGCCTGTTCTTGGCCCTCATGACAGGGAATGTGGTTAAGAGAACATGGCAGCAGCTGAAAGCTCCTAAACCACAGGGAAGTGTTTAGGGCTTCCAGGGCAAAGCCTCTGTTGTGTCCTGCTCTGAGCCTCAACAACAGCCCCAACCCTTTGTCAAAAGAGGAATGGCGGCAATGCCTCTGTCTCCACATGCAGCATACTGCACTCCTTCTCCTTTCTGAAATAGTCCTAAAACTCACAAAGAATCCAGAGCATGTGGCTACTTCTGAGGATTCTTGATCAGTGACAAGCCCCACAAATGCGCACACACACAGACCCCCACAAGCCCAGCACAAGAGGTCACCTCACCTAGAGATGGGGCCATGGAGGCGATGGTATTGCTGGGGTCCAGCTGGAAGCCGCCCATCACAAACGGCGCCTCTGAGGCTGGGCTGTCCATCTTCAGATTGGGAAGGGCCATGTTCTGCGCCAGGTAGTACTGGTACAGCTCCGCCTCGGCAGGTAGGCTGCCCAGGCCCAGGTGGCGGTTGTGCTGCATTTGGCTCATGTTCTGTTGGAGCAGCATCATGTTGTGCATGTGCTTCTCACTGGTCATGTGGATGCGAAGGTTCCTGGCCACATTTGTCTCATAGTCACACACCTCACACCGCCAGGTAGGTTTGCTTTTTGGTTTGGTTGGGGAGGGGGCCCCACAGCTACTCCCCATGTTGGCTGCGGCGGCAGCTGCTGCTGCTGCAGCAGCCGCTGCAGCAGCCGCTGCCGCAGCTCCAGCAGTGTGGCTGAAAACTTGTTCCCCGCCTCCATTCTGCAGGTTTTGCATGTTGTTGAGATGCTTGTCAGACTGCATATGAATACTGAGGTTGCCTTTGGTAGTAGTGGAGTAGTTACACACCTCGCAGCGGAAGGGCTTGTAACCACAGGTGTAGCTCTCACCCCGTGCAAGCCGCGGGTGAGGCTGCCCACTTTTGCAGTAGGAGCAGGTGCCCCCTGACTCCGGGTGCTTCTCCTTCATGTGAGCCTCCAGCGTCTGCTGGTACTTGTAGTGCCAGTTACACTTGGGGCACTTGAGTGTCTTGCATGAGTTTCGTGAATGCATCATGGTCATGTGGCCGCCAAGCGACCGCGAGGAGCCCAGGACGGTGTCACACTTGGGGCACTCCACACCGCTCCCCGAGGGGCACTCCCCATCCCCGAGTTCACAGAGTGGCCCCATGTGCTGGTGATGAGAGACACAGACCCCGTCCTCACCCTCGACACTCTCATTTGGTTCTGGTACTGTGGCATTGTCTCTATTGGCACTTTCATTGCTGAAGTCCAGCCTCCTACGGCCCTCACTGCCTTCACTATTAAAGCTTAAACAATTCCTCCTGTTTGCACCATCAAAGACAAAGGAAGAAGCAGAATTAGAAGAAGCCGTGCCATGGGACGCAGCCTGAAGCACGTTAGGCATTAAGGGAGAAATGCTTTGGTTTGAGAGAGCAAGGTCCTTAGGGCTTCCGCCACTGCTGCCACTGCAGCCTGCCACTGACCCAGACTCTTCCGGAGGCCTCTCCTCCAGGTCATCCTCCAGCTCACTTGCAAACAGCCCTTTGCACCCCTCCTCCTCCTCCATGTCCTCCTCCATTTCCTCCTCCTCCTCCATTTCCTCCTCTTCCTCCATTTCCTCCTCCTCCTCTATTTCCTCCTCCTCCTCTTCCTCCTCCTCCTCCTCCCCAGCTGGCTCTACTTTCTCTGAGGGGCTGTGTTGGTCAGCAGACTGTTGCTTCTCTGCGTCTGCCACCCCCCCAGGGTCCTTCCCCTCAGAAAATACAGGTGGGCTAGAGGCCAGTGGTACGAGGGGAACTGAGGTAATCGGTGTCTTCAAAGCTGAACTGGTTAGCCCTCCAAGGTTCAAGAGGCCCCCAGGGGCCAAGCGGCCAGACTGGGGCTGTTCTGCCCCACTGGCAGCCCCGACCTGGGCACCCTCCTCCCCTTCCATGCGTATCCCACTGAATTTGCCATAGAAACTGTGTCCAGGGCCTATGAGGTTTGCTGTGGAAACTAAAGGGCGTGGAAAGTTTTTGGTTTTTGGTTCCAAAAAGCTTACAAGGGGTTCCTTGTCTTTGCCTATCCCTTGGATGATAGCGGAGATGTTCTTATTGCTAAGAATTTTCCGCTCCTCCTCGCTCAGAGTCATTCGATGGTCGTGAACCGCGTGGGTCACAAATGAGCGGACGTACCCAAAGGAAAGTTTGCACAAGAAACACATCAGGATGGGCTTCCGCTTCCCATACAGCACAAAGCTATTGAACTTGGACAGGTCCACATTGTTGGGAACATCTTTGGATACACAGGAACTTTTGGCAGAACCATCACTGTTCAGGTAATCCTTGTTGCTTTTGTAGCGCACATCAAAAACACGGAAGCTGTGCAAGACAGGACTGAGCCCTGCCAGGGCTGAGGTATTTGGGGAGGCCGGCTCTGAGCCCTCAAACCACTTCCCAAAGGACGAGGCTATGTGGAAAGTGTTGATGATCTGGGGGTAGGCGGGGGTGGGGGCGGCAGCCGTGGCCTCGCCTTGCTTGCCCCCTGGGCTGGGAAGGGAGTTTGTGAAAAGAGGGGGAAGCGTCCCGCCGCCGTGGCCAGCCCCCCACAGTCCCCCACTCTGGACCAGCTGGCTGAGGCTCTCCACAATGTATGCTGAGCCGTCTGGCTGGTAGACAATTTCCCCAGCCAGGTTCTCCACATCGTCGCTCTCCTCCTCCCCCTCCTCTCCAGTCTCGCTCCCACAGTCCTTCTGCAGGGGGACAAGTGGACGGGTGCTGGATGGGCAGTGATGCTCCATGTAGCCCTGCAAGCTGATGAAAGAGGCAGAGCATTTGTTGCAGCTGACCTCTTGGTCGGCAAGCTCCGCATCGGGGCTAGCAGGAGCAGGACCAGCAGTGCTTCCAGGTGAGTGCTCTCGGAAAGGGCCCCGCCGCTGGTCTAGGGCTCCTTGGCTCTCCACTGCAGGTGGCTCCATGCTGGCAGCTGTGCTGGGGAGGTGGGAGCTACCGAGTTCAGTCCATTGCTGGTGCTGAGGGAGAGCACACCCATTGTCCTTCCCCAAGGTGACGGGTGAGTCACAGCCTTCCATGGCACGGAATGCATGGAGCACTCATTGCACCCAGTACGACTTGGACCTAAAAGCAGACAAAGAGAGGAGAGGGAGAGGAAAAGAGAGAGAGGTAGGTCAGTCAGGAATAAGCACAGACTGCATGTCCACACAGAGCAGTTACGGCATGCACAAGCCCCATTTGGAAAAAGGGGCAGCTGCTGCCAAGCCCGGAAAACACAGGAAGGGGGAAGACTGAAACCCATCAGCCCAAGAGACAAAGCAGTAGAACAGAGACAGGAGAAAAGGCCCTTCTCATCCCAGGGAGGAAAACACCTCTGCTTCCTGAATTTTTGTGCTTGTTCACAAGAATGGGAGATGAACTGCAGCCATTTCTGCAGAGAGGTCACTGCCAATGCATCCTGAGGCCTGCTCAGAGGAAGTTCAGGCTTTCTTTCCTGGTCATGTAACCCCTGCCTCTTTAGGCTAGGCAGGTATGGCATGCCAGTCTCCTTCAGAAACCAGCAGCACCTTGGCAGATCTGAATCTGAGATGACTGCTAGCTCTTGAGAACTTGGGAAGGAAATGACTGGGTCATTTCACTGACCCATGGCCACAAGAGAGTTTAGCACAAATGCCTCCTGGCCACAGTCTTTGCACAAAAGGGCCTTTTATGCCACAAGGGTAATGGGGAACCACAACCCTCTTGCCACTCACACCTGATGGGTCAGGCACAGGATTTCTCTGGCTTCTACAGGCTCTTGTTTCACTATGGCCACTCCCACCACCTATGCCAATATAAACAGTGCTGTCAAGCAAAACTCCAGCATGACAGGGCCGTAGCCAGAAAAAAATTTCGGGAGGGGTTGAAATTTGGGGGGGGGGGTTTGAAAATTTCATGGGGGGGGAGGTTGAAACCTGCCTCCTAGCTCACGTTGAAGCCAAGAGCACAGCAGGGGGCAGAGCAGCCTTCAATAGCCTGCAGCTCCACTCCTGTCAACCACCTCCACCAAGTCTGGCCTCCTTAATGAGAGCATTCAACACACACACACCCAACTTGGTTGCTTCACTACATCGGCTATTGCTGCAAGTAATGACAGTGTGAATAAATTGTCAATATTTGCCTGAGATAGTGCTTGCAGTTCTGGAGGGACTCTTAATTTTTGCATCTCATAGACTTAGCATGGGGATTTGGTTAACCAGTTAAATTCATGAGTAAACCAGGTTTTTTTAAAAAAATCTGAAACATTTCGGGGGAGGGTTGAACCCCTTCCCCCCCCCCCCCCTCGCTACAGGTCTGCAGCATGATACTTGTTCAAAAGATGCATTTGCGGTACTGCCACTACACAAGCAGAGGTCAGAGCACATGAACAGCAAAGGCTGCAGTGATATCAAGAAAGGTCTTTATCTTCCTAGTGGAACCATGCCCTCAGCAGGATTTTTTTGGGGGGCGCGTAGCACAGCAAAAGCAACTGCTGTAGTCTAGACATGTGGCAACAAAGGCTGGAGTGCTGATCAGCTTGCCTGTATGCACTTCCTGCTTCCTTCCCAGGGTTGCCTGGAGGCGGGAGTCAAAGAAGCAGGAAGGTTGATCTGCCAGCAGAGTGATACGAAAGTGAGAGCAGGCTCTCGCTGCCATGCAGCCCTTGCAAATGCACATGCATGAAGGCCCCAACTCTTCTTCCCAAGTCCCCCACGTCCTTTCACTAACTGCTGTTCTCTTTGCCTCCATCGCTTCCCATTCCTATTACCAGCCTGAGCAGACTGAGTCTCCTGAGAGAAGGTCTCGTGGATTGCCCCTGGTCGTGGTATGGACCAGGCCAGGCTCTCCCAACAGCATCTCCTTTGCCTCTCCTTCTGCTGAAGACTGGGGGCGTGGGGAGGGTGGCTCTGAAGTCTTTCCTTGAGGCCCATGGGGCAGAGCGGAGAACCCCTGTCTCTTGATCCACACACCACCACTTCTTTGTCTGCTACTAATCTCACACAGCTCAGGAAATCTCTTCATAGAATTCCTGGTTTGAATGAACTCTGCACAGAAGAAGGTTCAAGTACAAACTTTTACAGGGATAAGTGGCAGCCTGGCCTCAGGCTGAAGGCAACACGGAAGGCCCACAGGTGGCAAACCTGGTGCTCCTAGACAAAGTGGGGTTGCTAGAAACCCACCCGGCTGGCGCTGACGTTGAGGGGTCTGACTGACAGCCTGGGCCCAAAGGGTTGGCAGAGCTGATGGGGCGGGAGGGTTAACAGCCTGATTGTAAAATCAATATCATAAATGCTTGGTAAGTTACAGGAACAAGCGGGAAGAGAAGGCAGCGATTGATAAAGGACTGCGGCTTTGATGCTGCACTAGGGACTTGTTTATTGACAGGAAAGCCAATCTCCTCTGCAGGCCGGGCTAGGCCAGAGAAACTGCCAATGGCTTCCCAATTAATTGGTGGCTTTTTGGCCTCCCAGCTGCCCTCTGCATCACTGCCCACTGCCAGTTAACCACTTCCAGGGATCACCAAGGCCTTTGCAGTCATTCTGTTTGGGGCTGCTGATTCCTTAGGGTCTAAGAGCACAGTCTCACGTTGAGCGCAGGGCTGATCCCCGGAGGTGCTGCAGGAACCCCAAAATGCACAGCCCTTGGCCAAGCCTCATCTATGCACCCAATGCCAGGCTCTCCCTCTCCACCAGGCAGTCATTAAGGGAAAGGTAGCTCTTACTTAAGGAGGCAGAAGTCAACTAGTCAGGTCGATCACAGCACTGTCTGTAAACATGTTTTCCCGTAAAATCAATGATCTTCCGTTAGAGAGCGCACTGGCTGGGAACCTGAAGCCACCCCCTCCTCCCACCTCCCAGGTCCATTTCATCTTTAAAAAGGACTCCCTGGACTTCATCTTACGGAATAACTATTGGCAGTCTCTAAAGTACCATATTGTGGGTCAGGGTTTTGGAGAGGCTATTGGCCTTCTAGGTCCAGGGGTTTCGGGATGAGATTAATTATCTGGATGCACCTCAATTCAGCTTCAGGGATAGTTACAGGACAAAGACGGCCTGGGTCACCCTGAAAACTGGGAACCCAGGGCTCTCTTCTGTTCTCTAAGGAGCAGCAGCACTGTCAATCCCCCATAAAGTAAGGGGCATCACTGAGTCCCCATCCATCAGGCAAGACTTTTGAAGAAAAGTCAGGACTGCTCCCTTGCTTTGCCAGCAAGAACAAGAGTGGGCCACCAGTGGGGCCAATCCCCCAAAGCCATCTCTGTGCCAGGAGAGGGGCGGGCACTCCTTCCTCAGCAGGGCTATTTCCAGCACAGACATCAACTCAGACTGGAAGTGAAAGCAGCAAGCTCAGCCCGTTCTTCTTCTTCGGGGAACACACATTAACCTCTGTGATGTGCTTCCCACAAGGGGCAGGCAGCCCTGAGATGTTGTGGGAGGGCAGGGAACCAGCCGGCCGCAGTGGCTCAGAAGGGCCCTCCCCTGCACTGGTCTTGACCCCAGCCTGCTCCCCATCTGCCCTCCAGAGGCACAGAGGAAAGAGTGACTTTTCAGTGGGAAAAGGAATGCTGGGCTGCCATGCTTTCCACCTAACAGATATACAGAATGGACTTATGGTGAGCTTCCACGAGCCCCCTTGGAAACCAAGGCCTTCAGTATGTTTCAGCCGCAAAGCAAAGAGGCAGCACACCTTCCAGATCCTGGGAGAAACAAACTGTCTGTGGCTTTCAACACTGTAGCAAACAAAATACACACTTCAAGGCACCCATCATTTTCTATTTACTTTCTTGAAAACCTATTTGGTTTCAAAGTATTTTTTCAAGTTAAAAGCCTATTATGAACCAATTGAAATTATGTAACATAATTAGCTCAATTCTTGACACAATATATAAATTCTGTCCCGGTTATTTACTGTTTTCTATATCGAGCATAAATTAAACATGATTGCCCCGTTGCAGAAAAGTCACGGCAGCTTGTCTAAAAGAGAATTCAGAACAAAAAGGAAATGCGAGCCAACAGAGAGAAACAATCCACACTTTGTGTTCTTGGCATGTTTACAAATATGTCCTCTCTTAGGAGAACTACTCACTTTTGGAAAGGAAGTCACAGATGTCAACTATATTTCCTTATTTTTTTAACTAAAGGGCCAGACTAAATGTGCCCAAGAGCTCCTGTGTGTGAGAGACGCCGGCAAAGGATATGTCTTAAGAGAGAATCACATTGGTACTTGAGCTAATGCTGGAGGAGGTTAGTACTAAGGAGAAAGCGGCAATGGCAAACCAACCCTGAATGCTAGAATGAAACAATCCAAACTGCAGCAAGAAACAGTCCCAGAAAATGGGCCTCCTATTCAGATGGCACCGGAGAAGCTGCTGGGAAAGAGTGAAGGACAAGTGCAAACAGCCCTGGGCTCAGTGATACAACTGTCAACAACTACATAGAGCTATTGTGTTTTGGACGCAACACACTTCATACCACTTCAGACAGCATCACCATTTCTATTTTCGCTCTACATGCCATTCAGGATCCTCTTGCTTCCTTCTATCCCCTAACAGCAAACTTGCATGGCCAAGTGCCAATCACACTGGAGCTCCAAAAAACAGGCCAACTGAGATAGGTCAGCTGAGGAAACCGAAGGCATTTTTAGAAAAGGAAAGGTGAAGGCAGCATGGACCCAGGGCAGAAGAGGGGGGATGTGTGGTATCAACTGGTGGTAGAACCTTACCCCAAGTCCCAGCAAGAGGCCTAGAACCCAGCCTCCCTCCCACATCCCTGTCTCTTTTACTGCAGATGCTTTCCACCTTCATGGCTTCATTGCCCATAGTGTCCCCCCCCCCCCCCCCAATGCACTTCTCATGCTCCAGGGAAGGGGAAAACCAGGCCCTAAGGGAGGTACAGGCTGGGAAACTCAAGAGGCAGTAAGACTTCTGGGAAGGCACTGCGTGATTGCTTCAGTCCTTGCTTTGAGGGTCTGTTTTATAAGCGGCCACACACCCAACAGCCATTTTGTGACTTCCTAGGCCTGCTTTCAGCCATTTTGTGAGGCTCCTCACAATTCTTTCTCAAAATCCCCCCTATATCTGCTGGCCCCTAAAACCTGATCTATGC